GAGTCTTCTCTTTGTGATTTCCAGAGAATTCTTCCTGATTAAAACGTATTCATTGTCCTTGAATCGCTATCAGGACGACTTTTGAAAACAAATCTTCGCCTTACTTTCCCAGTTTCCCTGTAAAATATTTATTTGAGAGGTACTTTGAGACATACCAAAGATTATTTTGGATATGGAGATAGTATACTATTTACTTACACAATGCGGTAAGCAGCAAAAAAAAACGAAAGCAAGTAGGCCTAATGTAAGTTTCACTAATGCCTGAGTTGGAGCATTGAGAATTGCCAAATTCGTGAAATTCGCTAGTGCGAACATGGGTTGCCATAAAGTGAAACACCTTTTGATGTACTGTATCAACATGGACTCAGAGTGAGAAAACTTCATTGGGGAAAGAAGTAAAACAAATCGCTCATATATACTAAACTGTCCACCTATTAACGGTTTGGTCCGGGTTTCAATCTTCGAAGACTCATGTAAACTAATTTTCCGCCACAATTGCGTCACATCATGTAGGCTATGTAACATAATCTATTCTAGTCTAATGGATGCCTCATCAACCCTCAATTCAGAAAAATACTTTTATATATTCCAAAAATTTTCAGAATTCTGTTTCAAAATATTCATGTAACTTTGAATAAAAAGTGGGCTGATTTTAGCATAGTTCATCCGGGTTTTTCGAAGACAGCGACTAAAATACGGAAGCAAAGATGGCTGCTTAGTTACTAAGTTTTTACTTAATTTCGAAAATTTAGAGAAAAAAAGACGAAAACGAGTCAATGGCCATAACCATGCTCGAAATTATGTTCGAGTAAAAAAGTTGGCTGGTTATATATATAACTTATATGTCTTTTATGTCAAGGTTTACTTGTTACTGAGAAGTAATTTTTACGAGTAGAACAAGGAGATCGATGCTTTCATCCTGTGAAGTTTATGAATAATATACTACCTGCAGATTTCGCTCTAGTTAATTTGTGCTGAGCATATGAATCTTGACGTAATAAGACGTTGGAGGTTTTCGGTCGCATTTCGAATGGTCTTCCAGATTTATGATCTTTCTTGTATTGGAACTCGAGTTTTCGTGTCTTTTCATACTGCTGATACACGGCTGAATCCTCAGGCCAGTTATTCTTACAATTCATTTTAGTTTTCATGCTCTCCATACAAATATAGTCGATATTTTATCCAATGGTTCGTAATTTATATCTAACGTGACTCGTAGCACAACTCAGCAAATTGAATAACATGACTCTCATTTGTGCAAAGGATTAAAATTATCGTCACTAATTGGTACTCTACTCAGTTAAACTTGTATGAACACTACAGTGTTCCAAAGTCAAGTACAATATGGATCAAACAGAATATATATTCGGTTGTCATTAAATGCAAGCACTCGGTCAAAATGTATTCATGACGTAACTGAAGTGCACTCAGATTTAGTGTGATGCGAATAAAATCGATATTAAAATGATACTCTCAAGTGATGAAACGCTAAGCAGAATCGGTACTTATAATTCAAGCAGTGAGTCGAAAGTGTACTTCATGTATAGATGGAAATAAACTGTTAAAATTAACCATTTTACAACCGATTGGTGGCGTGAATTTGCCCTATCCGAAGGTGGGCACTCCTCACAGGCATACAAAAACGTTACCAAAATATATTATTATCAATTTTTAGAACGACACGATTAAGGTGCCAACGACGCAGGGGAATGTGGCTAAACCAATCGGAACCGCAAGCCTGCTTGAAGACACTTTAGTTGATTAAGACAACCACCACCTGAAAAAGATGATTATTTAAACTAGTGGTGCCGCGGCACACCAGCGTAAGGCAATCGTCTTCAGTCTGATTAAATATAGAATTAACTATTATCTATCCAAAGTTTGGATAAGTATTCACTGTCGTTTATTACTTCGTATTCAGTTTTATTGAAGAACAATAAATTCTTTGTTTACTCAAGATTCCGTTTGATGAAAAAATACGGAGAAATAGCGCGAAAAAGCGAATTCGCACAAACAAAAAAGACAGGGACGGGGATCACCAACCAGTAATTGCTTCCCCATAGCGGCTAGGAAAAGTTTTAGCAATCTGCTTTCCAATCTTATTCAATGACGGTTACATGTTTGTGCTGTGGTACCAAAATGCCTTGCCCCTTCGATTTTCAACATGTTTTTTGAAAAGCGATTCTGAGGCATTTATAGTGGGGACAAACTTTTTCTATTTTTTAAAACACACGAAATTGCGCGCATGTATATCTTCGACAGCGAAGTATGTCTGTGTTGAATTTCTTTGTGGTATACTAAGCCTATACTATAGTATGTTTACATATTGCACCAATGAATCATTCTTTTTTACAAAAACATAAACGGGTATTTATGTCACCTCCCAATACTAAAATATAGAGATTTGATGGGATTCCTGATGGGCGTTGCTGTTATTTTTTTTTATTACTTTGTACTCTTTAAGATATCGTTAATATCAGCGGTGGATTGTTGGGAGTGAAAGCATCCCCAAATTTGGGGCTGGAGTGTACCAGCAATTTGTGTCGCAGGCTTACTTATGCGAAAGGTCGCACTTGGGTATTCGTGACAAAAACTATGCCTTAATATTAAACGATTTTCATTCATAAGCTTTAATAGAAAAATATAAGACAGCTAGTCAGCTACAAATAAATATTACATCGTAAAATATACAAATAAAATTTACAATCAAACCCTGTGTAAACTAAGATACAAATAGAGAAGCACAAAAAAATAAAAACCTACATGGGGTCGTTAGGCTACATCTCTGTTGCGTCGCCATCGACAAAGATTGTCATGACGTCACATTTGTGTATATTGCGGGATCACAGGTTTTGTATTATTAGACATCACAATTGTAAATCGGCTACTTTGTTGGACCTCAATTATGTCTTAAATAGAATATGACGTTGTCAAAAATATACACAATACTTGATGATTCGGTTGTGAACAGAGAAAACACATGACTAATGTTTTAAAAACTTTCCAATTATTGCAAAATGGTAAATAATTTGCTCTTGTATTCTAGCTTACTAATATTATTGAGATACTAATTAGTCCTTTAAGCACTAATGTCATTAAGACATTTAACCCACAAAAAAAGTTTTCACACTAATATTAAAATACCAACTAGCAAAAATGTTGAATCTGGGTAAATCAAGACATTATAAATTACTACCTGAAAAAGGTATTTTGAAGAAGAAAGCAGCTCACTACCTAACATACTCTAAAAAAATTGAAACCTACAATTTTTGAAAACTAAAACAAGTTCTTGCTTTAATGATTGGTTGATACAAAATAGCAGCATCTATCTCATTTAAAATATGAAAAGTCTTATCATGTAGAGTCCTACACTCTGATTACCTTGTAGAATTCAAAATATAGAGTTGGGTAGCTGATACTTGAAATTCATCATATCACAGCATAAAATATTTCTCAGTTTTCAGTGGCAATTACTTTCCACAATAATAATTCAGTACCAGAAGCTGTAAGGAGAAGTTTTCCATCTGGTGAAAATTTCACATGATTGATGGGTCCGAAATGTCCACAGAAATCTTGGAATGTACCGTGACAGGCATCGACAAGTTCAACTATTCTTGATTCGGTACCAAGTGCTAGTAATTGAACGTTGGTTTTACGAGTTCCTTCACTAGAGATTGAGTTACATGCATCCAAACATTGTGTCCAGTTCGGTATTGAAAAAGTTTTCACAACCTTAAAATATATTAGAAGATTATTGATCAAAAAGTATCGCATATGCCAGTGGTTCTCAACACTTCCGCCCTCTGCATTTCTACGAAGATACCTAGTTTTGCTTTTAACACGCTCCCATTCGTTATTGTAAGCACCTGGTCTATGGTTGATAATAAAATAAAAACGAAGCAAAGGATTCAATGCGGTCAAAGAATTGGAATCACAGTCAATTTGCTTTAAAGTAATGTGCAGAAGGCACTTAGTGAATTCCTTTTCTCATGGCCCCCAGACATCTGCTGCACGGCTACCTGGGGAGCCAAGAGCAGACTGTGAAATCCTGACTATATGGCATCAGCCATCAACTATGAACAATATAGTGACAAAGATACTTTGCTATATGAAAAAAAAGGAATTCCTTATTATCACAGTATATTAGAAGCAAGAACAAAATGAAAGAAATACCTTCAGATTTTATCATCACAGTTAAAATGTTAACTTCTGAAATAAATTGAGAAAAGGCATATATAGACATTTACACAGTAATGAATTCACCTTTCTTTAGCCAAGCTATAAAGTTGTACGAACTTTTCCATTCCATACCCTGTGTATACCAGTAAATCAGGATTTGATGGATGAAATATGCAACAGCTGGGTGAAGAAGAGATACTGAGGACTGAAACAACAACTTAAATGTATTGGTTTGTTATTGAAATAAAGAGGATTACAGTATGGAGATTTTATGATAACAGTTGCATTACAAAATTTAGATATTGCAGTCAAATTCTACATACACTAATAGTGAATATTGTTTTGTAAAGTATAACGCCATATCCAATAAATAAGAATCACATTCACAAACAGAAGTTGTTATTGACTGTAATATAAATGCAGAACTGTGGACCAAATTTTCCGAACAACAGACTTTTCCAACCACGAGGTGGCATAGGACGGTTTAGGTTATGATTCAGTCATCTTGGGAGTTGTGAAAAATAACATTACACAAATATCATGCGAATTTATAGAGTAATTTCTCAACATTTATTTACCACAGTAACTATGCCCAAATGTCCTATTAATCTGCATGTATTTGTATATTATTATTTTAAACATCTCTTAATGCGACTGAAAATTAAACTCATAACTAAAACAGTCTTATGATTGGAAAAATTCAAAAATTCCACAAACAATCTAAACGCTTCACATAAACGAAAGTACCAAGTTAACCCTTGTCAATCCAAGTCATAAGTTCAAGCTCTTATTGAATGGCAAATCATTTTTAAAACTTACTTTGTCATTCCTACTAATCTCAGTCCCATCTGGAGCAAAACATGGAGCTGGAAAAGTCAACCAATCAACCATGTCACATTGGTCAGAGTTCCAACAACTAACCCACACACTGACTCTTCTGTTAGCCGCAGTAGCGAGCCACACAGATGAAGTTGAAAACGACCCATCTCTCCTCGAGTCTTTTTCAGTCAAATGGGCTGAAATTGAGGCTGGGTGATCCTTGAGTACAAAGTTCAACATTATTTATTAACTGTATGTAATATAGTAGGGGTAATTGCTACAGTTTCTGTAGGTACAAGGCAAAGGATAGGAATTAATACCTTGACAGAACAATTCAACATACGATCTTGAGATAGACATAACCATTTTATTCTACAGTCATTAGCTCTATTCACCAACAAAAAAGGTGCTGCACTTCCACAAATTCTATTCCATAATGTTTCATCTGATTAATACGACCATTCTCTCTCCATTCACTCTAAACATTGCTCTGCACATGCAGTCACTTATATGTTAAAGAAAGGCAGCAATCTTCCCAGTTATACATTAGCTCACCTAATTTACTACACCCTGGTTAGGTGTTTGGCATGGGATTTGAACTATAGATCTTTTAACTGTGAGATCATAGTTAAAAGAATTTAATTGCTGCCACACTGTCCTTGCAATCAGTTCATACGAATCCTCTAATAAAAAAGCAGAGATAAAGTAGAAGTAGCAGGACCTCCAATCAGCCATATACATTATGAATGAAATATGTAAAAATTTTCAGTCCAACAAACCTGTCTAGTTGAAACAGTCAATTGTGTAATAGGTGATCCCAAATGATCATCCAACACACGTAAAGTAACACCAGTTGACAATGATGTGATGGCTATCCTTCCACTGTGACTACCAGACAACAATGTACAATTGTCGGATGAAAATGCAATCGCCGTTACTTTGGTTGAATGTGGCTGCAGTTTCAACATCAGGATCAGCTGCAAAATGAGAGGGATTTATTTATATGAGAACATAGAATTTCCAATAATAATAATAATAAATAATTTTTCATTAAGCAATGTAATATGTTACTTAAGTTGGATCAAGTCACCATCACTCAACAGACCCCGAGTGATTCTACTCAACATCAGACTTGGATGGCCAGTGACTCAAGTAGAGTCATGGTTTAAGCTAGGTTCTCGATTTGACTCTAACTGGGCCCTAATTGAGGTATTTTTATATAAAAGCAGTGGGCCACAAGACTCGAGTGTTTGAGAAACGGCCACGGATCATGATGGTTTGAGAACCACTGGTTTTAAAGGACTTGTACCAAACACTATGTAGCCATAATGGAAGTATTCCTATTAGACCCAGACAGGTTATAATGAGCATTTCACACAAGTTTACCCCCATTAGAAAATAGAAAGGTATATTTATGGTATTAAACAACAGATCGCAATGTGTTCAATTTGAAAAATGGTAAAATAGGCATTTTGTCCACCTAAACAAGTAGAATATTGAAGTGCGAATCCTGCATGCTAGAATAAGTGAGAGCAACCTAGGACACCACCCGTAAATTCCAAAATCGATTCTGGTAATACAAATTTCCTATCAGGTATATGTATATATCAAATGTACCAAATTACCTTTTAGTCTGATTAAAATCATTTATTATCTATAAATACAATACCAATTACCTTGTCGACGTCAAACACTCTTAATGTTCCATCACCATAGCCAGCTGCCAACATTTATTAGCTGGAGGAATAATATCAGGTTGTGTGTCTTTATTTGACAAATCTTCCAATGATTGAGCATGGCTAAAGATGACACAGCCACAAGGTTGATCAATTACCTTGAATAACAAGAAAAAAGGGTACAAGGTAACGAGAGTACTTCTAGTATGATAAGTACATTTCGCACAATCTGTTAATTTGCTGCAAATTTCTATAATACTGAGAATTGCAATATTATCCCATTATGCTCTTGTAGCTACTATGCTGCATCTACCTCATAAAAAGTACTATTAGGTAAAATTCAAAAGTTAGTGTTTTTACACTAATATAAAATACCAATTCCATGAATTTGGTGGATTCTTGAAAATGAACAAAATATAGTTCCCAATTCCCATTGATATTTAATTTCATTTAGAGCTCACACATCATGACCAGAGGAAGTAGTAGTAGATGCTAGTTAGAAGTGGATTATTAGTGACTTTCTGGACAATTGTACAATTACTTTATTGCAACAATTTCAAAATTATCATTCAATTTTTTTTAACATTTATCTACTGACCCTGCAAATTGGACGGACACATTTTTTATGTTTCATTACAGATACAATTACTTATAGGGTGTGAGAGATTACCCCACCAAAAAGTCTGGGCAAAACTATAAGCACGACTAGTTACTGCTATAAAACAAATTTGCCACTGATTACGACTGGTATAACATATTCTGATTTCTGTTCCATTCGAACAATTTTTTCGACAAAATTCCGAATTTAAAATACCTGGAATTGTACAGTGAGTTCCAATGTTTTAACAGACCATAATCTTACTGAGCCTTCTTCACTGCATGTTGCATAATACTGGCCATCATCAAATGTTATACCATTGATCTGAGACAAATATTAAAAATGATTTTAAAAACTTCAGTCAATCAAACTCATTAATTTAACATGTCAGGTTAGATGCCTCACAAACAGGCAGATCAATTTCAAATGTGTTTCAAATTCAAAGCTTGCTCCATATGCTAAATGCTACCAAGGCTGATGAGCTAGTATGACATTTGGGCTCAGGATCCAACTGCTCCAAAGCCGTTTATGTTTTTAGTAAATATAATGAACTGGAATGAAACATTACTCTGTAACAAGTATGGGAATATTATAAAAGTTTAAAAAAAATGGAGCTGCCAAAATCTCCAGTACTTCTGGCTTAAACTTCACAGAAAAACACAGCTTCGTACTCTGGTTTCCCAGAAACTATCGCATTTTAATACAGAGAATGAAGATCACGCAAATTCAACTCACTTTAGCCTTATGACCAGTTACCATCCGAACAGTATTGTGACTATTCCAATCAACATACCACAATGTACCAGCTGTGGTACTCACAATACCAAGATCAAGCGTTTCATCAAATACAGCTGAAGTTATCTGATATATGAAGAAAAAAATTTCCAGATTAAAATATGTGAAAGACGCAAATATATATTTATAGATATTCTTCTTATTTACTTCATGAATTATACGAAATATTGTGATATATTTTTTCATACAATATTTTCATGCCTTCACTCTAAACAAGGATCTGTAGAAGCAGTCACTGATATGTAAAAAACTACAATTTTTGAAAAAACCCATGTCTTATCGATTTGGCGTTGTCTTTCCAATTTATTACACTTCGCTGGAAGTGGTTTTGAACCTGTGACGCCAACATAGAACTTATTTAGTAACATGTGCGCTCATAGCTAATGGAACTAATTCACTCTTTACATAATCATAAAATTTTTATTGAACGGAATCTTTTTAACAGGATTTTACAGCTTCAAACCACCACTCTTCAAAGCACAGATCAATGGATGTTTTGTTGACTCATGAGACCAGTAAAATTCTCCTTTTAGCTTTTTCGTTTACAGAATTTTTCATGCTTATTTTGAGAGTATTTACAACAGTTGGTGCTTACAAACTGGTTTACTTGTTTCATAATATCATTTTGATTCAAAATATTCAACTGCATGCCCTTTAAATAAACTGATAGAGTATACAAAATGACCAACAAAGTTTTTTTATTTATATCTAAATTCCAGGAACAAACCAAAAACTGTCAAATAGCTAGCAAAACCATAAAAAACAATTTAACATTTACAACCATGCATGAACATCTGACTGAGCAGAAGTCTATGCCCTGGGAAACATCCATTTACCTCAGAATGCAGTGATAATTCATCTTCCATAACCAATCCTCTTAATCTCAGATCACTGTCTTATTACTCAACTGAGCTTCTTGCACTGCCGTCAGTGTCCATAATCGAATGTTACGAGACACACCACCGGATATTAATCTAGCACCTTTTGATAACAGAACGCATATTTCCGCAGTATCTGCTTTCCAATGTAAGAAACATTCGTTTGTTTGTGTGTCCCATGCCGTCACAACACCTTTATTAGTACCTGCAATATTGGTAATACTGGAATTTTAATATGACGATGAAAAAAGCAATGTGGTGAGTCATTTTACCAGACCAACTCAACTTTAAATGGCCTATAAAAGTGTATGGCAATAAAAGCCGTAACACTGACAGGGTAGGGTGAACGAGTAACACTGACAGGGTAGGGTGAACGATATGATTATGCAGAATTTTCTAACCAGGTTTCTAACTTGGTTTATTTGAGGGGGGGGTACTTTTTACGTAGTTATGAGTGTAGTAATTAATAATACACCAGCCAGAATGAGAGTTGCAAATATCCTTGGCTAATGATCCATTAAATATTGGGAAACAAACGAAGACATAATTTTTATACACACTGAGGAAATGTAGACTTTCAAAACAGGGAAAAAGAGGGAAGTAGCAACCAGGCTTGAGAAACAATTACTGTAAATCATATTCTCCTTTCCTCTCCCCCAGGGTAACTATAGGATATTCCAAATATTTCACAATAAACTTCAAACCATCTAAGTATAGACCTAATGATACAGTGCAATATTTTTGAAATTGTTCCTAATGCTATCAAAAAGCTGGTATGTCGTAAGCTAATAATTCATAAAATAAAGAAATCGTAAGTAAGCAAAATATATTAAACTGTATGGTGTATTCCTATTTTAGCTCAGTTTCAACATTACCTGCATATAGCACTTTATCAGTTCCATAACAAGCACTTGTAAAGTGAATATCAATGATGCTTTCAGCACCACATGCTTCTGTGACACTGTCAGGTATTTGTCCTTCGTGATATTGTAATTGTACCTAGACAACAAGGGAGCATGTCTCAAATATTTGGACACGATGACCAAAACGAAGTAGTACGGGTATGTTATCTTTCACAGTGCCTGTACGGTACTGAAGTCTCGACGGACCTCCAAAGCACAACGTACGCGTACGCGAACGCAAAACCGTCGTCACTAGGTGCGTAATATTTAATTTTCATGACCTCATTATACTCAAAAAAACAATCTCGTAGAGCTCACAGAATAAATTGAAAAAATAAATGTTAGCTTTCTAGCGACAATCTTTAACCACTGAAAATTTCAAAGCAATTGGTCCAGTAATAAAAAACACCCGATTCCCATGCCACGGCACTATTGCAATTAGATAATTCATTTATCTGACTTCATAAATTATCCAGCATTTACATGTATGAAAAAATTTTGCTTGAATACAAATAATTGGGTATCTTACCTCAGAACCACATTCTTCTACCAACCAAAATAAAATACTTGAATTTTGTCCAACAGTAACAAATTCATTAGGTGCAGTTGGATCCCATGTTATCTGAACAAATGAAAACAACTAAAAAAAGACAATCTATGATATGAAACATGTTGCTTCATTTCACTCAGGTTATGGCATTATTATGGTTTAAGTCTGTAAAGTTGGTAATGTTCCGCACATGAAACTTCTGACTACAGAAACATTGTTGTTCTTAAACATATTGCAGCTGAAATTTTAACTTCATACTTCAGACCTAGTCGTGAGGGCATTCGGTATATAATTTCTTATTTCAGAAGGAGTATTGTGGTTTTTCAGATATAGATATAGATACCTTTAATAGTGGGTCACAAGCACAATAATACCATTTTAACTTACATGATGTATAGGATATTTACAGGTAGATGATGTTAAAACTGTTGGCTTTGTTTCACTATCATATCCACTCCATAACACAACAGTATTTTCACGATAATCTCCGATTGATACCAAGAATCTATGAGAAAAAATAGGCTATGATAATCTTATCTTCCAATATAGATTGCACTACAAAAAATCACCCATAATTTTTTACATATACTTTACTAAAAATTCTCATGTTACTAGTTAAAAATCATTCATCACACATGAAACAAAGGCAGAAAGCAAACCGCAGCAAAAAAATGAAACTGGATGGCTATGCTATATATATATATATATATATATCTGTGGTTTTCAACCTTTTTGGTAGAGTCCAAATGAAACATTCTGGAGGCTCCTGTGCAATTGGATATCAATATATTGATTATATGAATATATTTGTTAGTATAAAAAAAGTGGAAATATGGAACATCCGAAGGTCTTTCAGAGAATACTAATGACACTCATTATTACATGAATACATTCTACCAGTGTATTTGATTATATTTCAACAATAAACATATAATAATAGACTCTCGGATTTGAATGGAAAATTGTGGAAACCTTGGACTATGATTCTGCGGAACGATTGTTGAAAACCACTTCTATATTCATAATAAGTAATGATCTGAAGTAATTTGTTGTAAAGGAAATCAAACTCTGAATAACAACAGAAACATGAATGCCAACCAATATTATGAAATATGTTATACTATTATATACTGATTTTTAAAAGAAAAAATGACAGAAATATTTGAAATCCATACCGGTCATCCCTAGAATATTCCATTGCAACTACATCGTGTTCATGATGTTTAAGAGTCGCTCGACATTGTCCAGACTCTACATCCCACAACCCAATCTCACTGTGAACCATTCCATTCTCACACGATGCACATGCTAGAATCTAGGAAAAGTAAAACATATTAAGACTACCACCAAATATATGTAGGTAGAAATTGAAGAAAACTACTAACATTTCCATTTTAAGTGATTTAAGTGTCTTGATACTAACACAAATATACATATCAGTAGAGATTACGCGAGAATACCTCTCGGCTCTCAATGCCTTCACGCTAGGGGATTTATATGCGTATAATGCAATCAAGGATGCTGTAACATATGCAATTCCAGAGTCCTGCTGCACACTAACACAAAAGGTGTTCATGAATTACGCTTTCAATTTTGTTATGAAGTCAGTTATCAATATATATTAACCCGGTTTATTTTTATTCAAATCAGTGTTTGATTAAGTTTTGATACTTCATTTTAATAATACACCTGTAGGGGCCGACAACCTCTACTAAACTGGGAATCACCAAGCACTATATGGTATCGATCAATTCCCTTTGAAATTTGAATGAAACATCACGAACAGGCTGTATTTCTGCAACGTTTCGTTTGACCCTAAAGTCGGTGATAGAAAAATTATGTTTGTGTGAGGAAGTCTGACTTACTACAACTGACAGACAACACTGGAATTTGTCCGACAGACAAAACAGCTCCGGAAGTATGTGTACCAATATGGAGGTAACTAATTTTGTTCGCCTACTTTAATCAAGTTGTGTAAAGGGACTGAAACCTATGGGCAGGGGGCATATTCACTTGGCAGAACAGTCCCCGAACTCGCAATAGAACTAAAATATAGGAAATCGGTGAAAAATTGAGACCTAAACCTTAACTGGTACACATACTACAGGAGTACCAAATTTATGTGCCAATGTGCACTTAAATCATTCAGAATATTTACCTTCACTTCTATAGCATTCCTGTATTATATGCATACAGATCCACCCTGTGCAAAAGCACAGATAAAAAATAAGTAGGTAGTTTCACACTTCACAGGTCACAGGAACCCATATGTTAGTGTGATGAACATGGAGGTATACCTGGCTGTCATGTTGCAAAGCCATAGTGGAAATTTCCTCTGAATGTCCAGTAAGATGACGTTGTGTTCCATTAGCAAGATCCTCCAACACAACAATGCATCCACTTGAATATGCGAAAACTCCAGTGTCAGGATTCCATACCATGTTGCCACGGCCATTACCATTATAACTAATAAATAAATAAAAAGATAAATAGATGCATTAATATGTTGGTAATGTTGGTAAAAAACTTACAATCCGACAGTCACAGATTTTTTTTTATCAAAATTGATCATGTGAAAAAAAATAAAAAATTTAGCTTAATTAATACCAGCTAAATATGGCAGAAATCGTAAAATTCAAAGGTCAAAAAGGACAATGCAGAATTGTGGGTGTAGATACCTAATACTAATTGCCTAAATTCACATATAGAAATGCTACTTTTACCAACAAGGCAGATCAAATTACGCTCGACTGAAAACCCCTTATTTATACTGTTTGAATCCACATGAATTGCTAAAATTACCATAGATATGAAATTCTGAATGACGGTATGTCCCATGACAACCAATTGAGTTTTCATTTTTTTTAAACATAGAGACATTGTATTTCTGAGCCACACTTACCCGATTACTGACTCGAGTTTCAATCCTTCCTCTCCTTTCCTTGGAGCATATCTCCGATGAGATAATGTGCTTGTATTTTTAGAAGCACAAAAATGTTTCAAAACTGGTGGTTGTTCACTAAACCCTGGAGTGAATAAAATAAACACAATCAAACAAAGAAAAAAAGTTTAGAAAAAGATTAGGAAGTCGTAACAGACCAGTGGTTACGTGAACCATCCTACAGCGACCAGAAGTCCAGCAATCATCTCGCACATAATTATCCCCACATAATTCAAACCTGCGAACCCACGCATGGTAACAGAGGTGCGATGGCGAGCGTATTCCTAACATTCAGCACAATGCGCCACGCAGCCATTCGCTGACTATAGTCGGCAAGCTTACTTACCTGTTGGTATAGTTGTTGGTTTTATACTTCTATGCAATGGCTCAGTGTCTTTCACTTTCTTTATTGGTGATAAAGCCTCCCTTCCTTTGACTGTGTTGGATCCCCAGAAAACCTTGATAGGATCATCTTGCAATGTTGAAGTTGTTGTGGTAGGATTTTCTCGGAGTTTCGAGTTTGTGTGATGCTCAAAAGGTTTCTCAGGTTGATCTGTGAATTTTGTATCAATATGTATATAAATGTCTATTTATACAAATGGAGATTTCTCTTTTCAAATATGATATTTATCATCATACAGATGTTTTTTTTTTATGAGCTTCTTAAGAGTGAAACCCATTTCCTAGAAAAGGGCTTAGAGAAGGGATTTTTACCACAGATCAGTCTACAAAATTTTTTTTTGTTTTTAGTGCTTTGACGTTAAAAATTAACAGAAGAATGTAGTATCAACAAACAGATGTTTTCTTTTTATGAGTCTTCTTCAGGAGTGAAACCCATGTTCTAGAGCAGAGGTGTGTGAACTGCCGCCCGTGGGCCAAATGCGGCAATAAAATATTGTGCGGCCCCCGGAGAAGTGCCAATTTGGAATGGTGTGCCCTCGAAACAAGTTTTTAGTTTAGGTAATCTTGTCTGTGCGAGCGATTCCAATCTATTTGCACCGCAAAGCCTAAATCAATGTTAGAAAAACGTGTTTCTCACTGAATTCGTTTGAAGTCGGTGTGAAAATAAATTTGAATAGCAGTATTCTTCAGAAATTTATGCGTTTCAACTCACCATTTCTGCAAGGACCCCTGACATACCGTAAGATCAAAAACAGAATAAAACATTTCTTTGTGCCTGAAACTACTAGAATAGATATATTAAATAAAGGTGCGGCCCGCTGCTTCACTCGATTACTTGAATCTGGCCAGATATGATTCTACTCAATGAATATATTATTACCTGTTATTTTACAATTTGCCATCATTTTAGTATCGAGTGTAAATTCTGAAACATCAGTTGCATCAAGATCAACAGTACGTAACGTATCGGGAGGAATCCAACCTGAATTTTCAGTTCGGGCCGGACTTTTTTTCTTTAAATCACCTGAAGGATTTTATTGATTTGACCACAAACAGATGGAATTTATAAATTACTAGTAAAATAAATCGACTATTTATATCAATTTCAGTTTTAAGTTTTATAAATTTCTACGTACATGACTGATACAAATATTTAACATTTTATATATGACATGGTCCAATTCACCTTGAAACATTTTTTCACAAAAATTTGCTCAAAGCATGGCCAGGGCACTCACTCAAAAGTAAATAAGACTTAAAAAATTTTGACATAAATTTTTTTTTAAATAGGGTGTACACTAACAGTAAACAAATCTGAATCTAATCGGTGATGCAACAACAGTTTTAACAGCTCACTTCTTAAATCTGTAACTATAGTAGACTACTAGTGTCTGTAACTCAAATATACCTTTAGGTGCGGTAGGTTTGGGTAGTTCAAGTCTAGGTTGAGGAGTATCATCATCAAGTACTTGCGGGTGAAGTCCAATGTCTCGAGTTGGTATAAGGTCATCTGATTCTGCAATTTGAAACGGACCATATTTTTAGCCATTTCATATCTATTATTTTATTTTGAAAACACATTATGTTCTACAAATATAAGATGAAACCTTCACTTGTTCTTCTTGCTGTTGTCAACAAATCTTTTCTTTGATATCTTCCTACAGATAATATATTTTCATCAATTTTTTCACGGTGGGAGCGAATATCCAACTCTGCTAATGATCCTTCATTTGAATTGAAACGTCTTGCAGCCTGGCCCAGAAAATCCCAAAGAAAAATTCCTTCCTGTCCACATGATATAATACTTGATTGATCAGGAGTGAACAGAACACGATTGATCATCCCACAATGACCAATGAATACCTGAAAACAGAAATGTATTGTTCATGGGTGATTTGCAAAAATAGCTGATAGCTATTGGATATTACTTGTTTCATTTTATTTCAAATTAGAAGCGTTGGGGAGACTATAGCCAGTGATTTGACTAAGTCACTTTTTCAAAGCCAGATTCGAGTTGACTTGGGAATCAGGAAGAAGTATTTGAGTGTTTGAAAAGGCAAAAATTATCAGTAAAATATGACATATGAAGCAGATTATTGATGTATTGAAAAAATCGAAGAATCACTGGCTCGTTGCAGGAATAACTAAAAATAGGCCGCATTGGTGCAGAAGTAAATACTCTAAATGTATTATTTAATTCTAGTTTCAATTTCAAAATGAGGTTGTCTTGACAAAAGATGGAAGTCTTAAAGTGAAGGTAACTAACATTTATCTATTCTGTTGATTATGAAATCTAGTAGGAATCTGTCATTTATTAGGAAAGGGCTTACCTGAAAATTAATATCTTTAGAAAGTTCATAATCCCAAACTTTCACAACATTATCCCCTGCCGTTGCAAAATATTTTCCATCATCACTGACACACACAGATGTTGCCTTGCTCCTGTATGGAATATATAATTATCAATTTATCTTATCAGGGATTGTGAATACAGAACAATCAGATATCAGACATTCCAAAATAATATTTCCAAAAATGATTTTTTTACAGTTCGTCTTAAATAAAAACAAGGTCATTTTGGTCATATCGCAAGACTACAATTACTCAAAATAATAAAATTTTTTTTTTGGACACCCCTATATTATATATATTCAGTTACAGTTCTGTGCCCTGTTGTCAATTTGCAGAATGTTTGATTTCAGATTGGTTCATCAGGGAAGCTATATATGAGTGGTGAACCACAAATTCAAAGAAAGGAAACGAAAGTATGTGAAATTGGCACAACAGAAAACAAGTTTTGGACCTTCATTTAGCATATAGCCAAACAACATTCATATAACTACCAAAAGCAATGAACACTTTTCTTTCAGTACTTAGTATTAGACATTGGTCTACTTGCTAATTTTTCTTCAGTTATTAGTTCATAAAGATTTAGATTTCATTTGCTCACCTGTGAATATTCTCAGTAATAGAGAGAAGACAACCATCTTTTAATCCTAACTTCAAGAGTCTGTTGCCCGTGGTAACTACCATCAAGTGATGTTGTGAGGAAGTGGAAAAACAAACCCGTAAAGGACAATCAACAGTTGGTCTTAACAAGAATTAAATTAGTTTAAATACATAAATCATATTTGGAAATGGGCATTATATTTCACAATGCAATATATGTAATGAATAATTTGTAAGACTGAACAGTAGTTGTAAGGGAATTCATAATTTACTTCGTCATGGCATAGTGGTTGCAATGGGATGGTGGTTAGAGCATTGGAATCCTTCTATGTCGGTGTTGTAGACTTAAGATTTGAGTATGAATCCTATACCACCAAATTCATCCAGAGTATGATAAATTGTGTATGCAATTTCGAACAGAAAAGATTCTGAGCCTTTTGAAAATGGTAGCAACTTAGATGTTAGTGTTTTTTGTATAGGATTTTGTTCATAATGCAATTGAGAAAATGGCTCATAAAAAAGGTTACATCAGGATTACTAGCATAGAATCAATGTAGTAAACCATTTCAAAACCATCACACACATCATTAATGCAACACAGACAACATAAATTAACATTGACAGTACAAGAAATCCATAATCTTAACATTTGGGCCCAATTCTCCTTTTATTTTAGTGTCACAATTTTGATTATCAGCATTTCAATTGCAAATAAATATTTTTTTGAATACCTAGAGCAGGGGTGAGCATCCTGTGGCCCGTGGGCCAAATTCGACCCATAAGAAAAAATTGTGCGACCCGCGGAGAAGTGCAACTTTTGAATGGTGTGTGGCCTGTGACACGATTTTCGAAAATAACAACATGCATGGAACATGGACTAACTTTTGCTTTAAAATATCAGGTTCCAAGTGTAAACCAGTAGAAATATCAATCCTCAGTAATTCATCAAGTGTTGCAGCAGCTGCCACTGTAACAGTATATTCAGTGGGTCCAACAAACGCTATGCGACGAGAGTCTGGTGCCACAGCAATACTACGAGGACCATATCTGTCGCCTCTTGCAATAGCACGTGGCAATGCACGAATAACAGCGGATCCAGTCTTTTCAACGTCGGAGGTGTCATATAATGTGACGGTGCCTAAAAATAAAGCGAAAAATTGTATGATATCTCATAATGAGGAATATTTATTATAAAAAGTTATGTTAAACTATTTAATTTTTAAAGTTTTCCATTCATAAACAATCTGATTCATATTGGGTATAATGAGTATATGTTGTGGACAACCTTTCTCTCTTTGAAATTTGTGATATTACCTTTTACTTCTGCGCTATACAAAAATTCTCCAGAGGGTGCAAAAATTACTCCAGTTACTTTTGAAGAGTGAATCTGATGTTCAGATAATAGACTGATTTGTTTGACATGAAAAACTCTCACAGCACCACTCTCAAACCCACATGCAAATATCTGAATGCAAAAATATAAAGATTTAAGCAAGAGCCTATATACAGTATCCATACATTCTAATTGATTCGATATGAGGATCATATTTGTTGGTTTAACATTCAATTCTTTGTCATCCATAAGCTTACTGTCATATTTATTGTATTTTAACTTATTTGTTGGAAATAATATAGAAAATAAGGTTCTGGTCACGCTTGTGTTAATATATGGTCGCAATGCTGCCAGCTTTGGTTCACTGGCTTTAAAAATGCATCTATCTGTATTTTAGAGGTGTGGTAGTTGGGCGCTTTGTTCAGTAAGTCTTGCTTCATTTCCGCCACAATGATATTCCTATAAGTTTTGTCAGACCTTGGTCATCATGAATATATTTTTGTGAGTGTACAGCAAGACTAATGAATTACTTGAAGCAATTTTCACTCTTGCTGCATTATCCTCGCCTTATAAAGCATAAAGCGAAACCCGAACAATAGCACAAGTATACAAATGTTTTTTTTTAATTTTCTATCAGATATCTCCATGATGCAAAAGAAATTCATGGACGTAAGTTATTAGTATCAAATATTAGTGATATCAGTTCAAAATTAAATCAAGTCCCTCATGTCACACAGAAAGCTGAAATGGTTGACCAGCTATTCGAGTATGTGAAGATTCCAGCATTTCCAAACTTTGTAGATCCCTAATCCTAAATGGCTATCTATAAAGAATGTTGTTCAAAGCAAAAGCATAAAGAAGTACTATAAGAATTCAATATAACAGTGCCACTATACCTCTAGTGTTGGATGACAAGACACAGAAGTAGGAGTATCATCAGGCGTTGTGAAATCATAAAGTTGCCTCAATGTTGAAAAATCCCACATTCTTATACTTCCATCTTCTGAACATGTTGCCTATTGTTTTTTCTTAATCCATCAAAGCAGCAGTCTGTTATTCTAGGAAAAGAGAAAAATATAACATAGTTCCATTAGCCAGTAACTTGAAAAGTGATTTAGTATTGTAAGCACAATATTGTGAAGTAGTTACTTTTTTACAGTAATAAATTAAAAAATCATGATTTTTTCTTTACTTGCCAACCATGTGATCTCATAACTGTTGTATACTGCCTGGTAGAAACATCAAGATATCAAGAGTCCCGCAGTGGTCGTGCAAGAACTTTCATGCATCTGGAATACGATTATAGAATACAATGATATTGCATATAAATAGATCGACACAATTGTTAAAGTAGGCTTTAGAATACATTTAATCAAATTGAATTTCAGGATAGACAAGAGAATTCAATGATGAATTCAAGAATCAGAATCATTTGTGAAACCATTCCTAATTGACTGCCACCTTGATATTGATTTTTCAAACAAAAAATAATACCCAGGAAACCATTCTGGTAGGCAGCATGAAAAAGAAGTCATTCTTTTCATGGGTCATGGCATATTAATCACTGGATGTGGATAGTTTAACACAAATCTTCTTTAAATATATCAAACCTAACTTGGTGCTCCGTTTTGAACTTGGTAAGAGTTTAAACTTGAGGCAATTTAAAAAGCATGCTAAAATCATTCATCACATCACAAACCTTTCGTAAGATCGATATCAACTACAGAACCTTCATGTTTTGCTTCCAGAAATACAGTTGATAAATCAAGAGGCCATAAACGTAAGAATCCATCGTCTGATCCTGTGGCCAGGTAGGAATCAGCAAATCTGATGACATTCAAACGGATTCCTAAAAATTCAAGATTCCGAAAAAATGAGAAGTTGACAAGCTAATCATGAAAGGGAGCATGGTGGATCCTACGGCCAAGTGGTTTTAAAGTGTTATGCTCAACCATGTTGGTGCGGCAAATAACACATTTCCGGTTTGAATCCCATGCCCATGAGGCCATCACCTCATTCATGGTGTTATAAAATAGGCAAGTAATGTCAAACTGGAAAAATTTCAGCCTTAAGCCTTTCAAAAATAATAGCTCCTCACATATCATATGACATCAGTAGCTATCTTTCAGGTCCTCGATTGAAATGAATGGCATGAATCTATTGTTGAAAAAGGGACATTACAAATTGCCTTCATTTTTGAAAAAATAGGTTACCTTAACCTGTTTCAGACGCTCAATCGAGCCCAATTTTGAATACATTTTTATTAATGTCATACGACCCCCAAAATTTACCCAATATACAATAATTATATACCATTGGAAAGGTATTTTAGAGTACTATGCGCTAGATGTCACTGGAGGACCGTTAAACTAAAAACACCTCTTCAAGAGGTCTCTCGTAACGTCAAAAAATAACAAAAATATTTACACTCTCTCATTCTATCAGCTGTTGGACGTCTATCGCTATTGTTAAAGCTGAAATGTGACCGACTATACAGTTGACTGCCACATTGGTTTTCTCTTTCCATATGATACTAAACGCTTTTCCATAGCGGCGCGTTGTTCAAACGTTTTTGGAAATTTTCCGTTTGAGAAGTCACCACATCGAATCAGGCCAGGCTGAGCTTGATAGATCGATCGGTTGTTTGTTTGTGCTTTATCGCGTTGAAAAGCTTTTGTGAGTCATAATAAAAACATTTATTATGAATCATAAAAGCTTATAATCGTCAGACAAGGAGAATTTGCGAGATAAAACGCCTAACTTTTTTTTTCGGTGAGGCAGCTGCGATTCAAACGACTCGATAATTTTATAACTTCCTGACGTTGTGAGATGTCCACTCTCCTATGTTATGTAGCATAATAAAATGACCTTCAAAATAAGACCTTATCATACTAGCTTTTGTTATTGGTTTGCGCGCAACGCCAAGGTTTATGGAATCATTTTCTTGTTGTGCGACGTTTTTATATCGCAGCGGGAAGTACACGCGTGATATGTAAGCGAAATTTTATCACTTCTAAATGTCATATAAGGTTCATTCTCATATCGTTGTGTGGGGAATAAGATTTCCTTTCAAGCAAGACCATAACAAACATTCCAGACCTCATGGTATACACACAGCATTGCAAAACGTCTGAAACGTCGCGCATGCGTCAAACCGGGAGGATTAGGTTAATAACAGATTGGTGAAACAAAACACAAATGCTAATTTAAATAGTGTCTAGGAAAATTACATAGTTATAGGAAAAAGGATTTGTTAATAATTAATAGCATCTGCTTTCGAGGTAAGATCGAGAAAGCCCTCTTCATTAGTTTAATTGTCTGATTTGCATCAACTATAAAAATTTATAAACCTAATACTGGCCAAACAAAAATATCTTCAAAGTGTAGCATGTTTAATAATAGTAGCAAGTCTTTAATTATATTCAAACACTATATTTATCAATATTATTATCAATATAGACTCACGAATTGAAAATAAAATTTGCGGAACCTCTGGAATGTGCTGGCGGAACCGCGGTTGAAAACCACTAATATATAGTGTCTAATTCAGAAAAGGCATACTAAAACCTTAGAGGATGTTACAGTAACTGGAATTTAGAAGTGAATAAAAAATACAATATACTCATTATTCAAGGTTTCTATTCCTTCCTAAGTTCTGAAATTCAAATATACCTTTCTGAGAATCATCCATATCCAGGTGTGTTGGTAGTAACCTATGAATATCCTTGATTCCAACATTCTGAAAATCAATCTCAATAATATATCCACCTTTAGTACAAGCATACACAGAGTGTTGAATTATATCATGTTGAGTGAGTAAATTTGAGTCATTCACAGAAGTTGCAGGAAGATTTCTTTCAGAGACTGTAAGAAAACAAAAATTTAAAAATGAAATTTCAAAAGAGTGTTGTGTTGGCGGGTTACCTGTATTTCGGTCGCTACGATTAATTAATGGCCAGAGCTGTATAAGAAACTATTATACTTGCATTCACGAAATTATTTTAAACAACTAGGATAATATATATTTAAAAAAAAATTTTCTGGAATATTAGCAAAATTAATTCATAACATAGAGATGAGTTTTATAACGCAAAATATTAAAAATTTGTTGTTTTCTTCAAAAGTTTAATATAAAAAAAATTCTGGCCAGATTTCTTCAGCAGTATAATATAAACTAAATTTCTGGTCAGATGATCTGTTCTCCATTCCTCCTTCTTCAGAAAAAAAAAGATTTCGAATTATTCCCAAAACAAAGTGAGACTTCATATTTGGACAATAATTCTATGGTGAAAAAATCCTAAAATGTTGAAATATTCCCTCCACTTTGTGAGATCCGTGTGAAATCGATTTCTATAATAAACCAAACCAACCTTTTCCCATCTTAGAAAAAGTAACATCAGTCACTTCTCCCACTTTATGTTGGCTAAGGCTCACAGGACAGGACCGAAGTTGACCTGATCTAACACGCCAAAATCTGATGTTATCTCTGCCGCAGGTTACAAGTCTTGTATCATCAGTTGGACAAATACGCAATCGAGTTATCTGAATATTAATACAACAACTGTTACTTTATTACATTATTATGAAAATTAAAATAAAAACAAGTATTTTTTTCAAACAAAAGAAGTTGCGCATGTTCTATTAAGAAAATGTAAAGCGATTACATTCTGTTTCATGCATAAAACTGTAACTTACTGCTGATTGAAGGTGCTTTATCAAATTATAGATATCAACTTACACAAAATTCCAAATCAAACAAAAGTTTCTACAAGATATGTTTAGTTGTAAAATCGTCTTTTTCTCAGCGTAACAGGATTATATCAAATCCTTCCAAATATTTTAATTAGACATGTTCTGACAAAATGAATTATATCAAACCTCAATATCAGCTCTTGCTCTCGCCATAACACTGACAGTTCCATGTCTCAAAACACCACTTGTATCCCAAACTATTATCAATGTTTTTCCATGAATATCTCTATAAGAAATTACAATATTATTTCAATACCTACAGTGCAAAATCAAATGGAATTATGATAATACAATGGTTGTAAAGTTGGACTCAAATTCTTATTCGCCAATAAAAACGATAAGATGATCCAACTTTATAATAGAGGGTGTTGCACTCAGAGACTCATAAATGCCTCGCTGCATAAAAAAACTTCCAGTTAGCCTGATTGCAATGCTATAAAATATAACCAAAATTCCCCATGCTACTAAGAAGCATTAAAAAAATACAATGATGGCAGGTAGCCAACACTAACAAAAATTGTAAAAAGTAAGACATTTAATTGCCTGACTTAATGACATGTACCCTAGGTGCCACATGACATTACAAAGCAATATTAACATGAGACTTTATACAGAACGAGAAACTATATTAAATATTAATTTATGAAATGTATGCATGTCTCATATATTGTCCACATGAAATATATTATGCTGAACTCTGAACTTTATGAACAGATGTTTAAACTGCCCAAAACAAGATGCACTTGTATTAAGAAGCAGATAAAGTACCTTCCACATCCAATCAGAACTGCTCCACTCGCAGAAAACGATAAAATATTCATAGAACTAGCTTGTTGATTCTTAACAATAGCTAAACATTTTTTGTTATCAAATCTCCATATTCTTACAATGCCACCATCACCTCTCTGTGCTGATGCGAGTATGGATGTTGTAGAAAGTGCTGAAATTGGATATGCTTGTATTTAAAATTTGGAACACATCTCATTATTTGTGCAAGGGCCATTCAGCAAGTGTAAAAGAAAAGGTGCATATTGTGTCTGTAGTGCATGTAATGTACGATTACAATTTTTTAGTGTATTGTATTAATGAGTCTTCTCATAAGTAAATACTTGTTGTAGGTTTCAATTTCATCAAAATGTTCAAGAAAGAACATTTAGATCAGGGGTGTGCAAACTGTGGCCCGCGGGTCAAATGCGGCCCGCAAGGAGCAATTGTGCGGCCCATGGAGAAGTGCCAATTCTGACTGATGTGCCCGCAAAACGAGTTTTCAGTTTAGTTTTATTCTGTACGTGCGAGCAATTCCAATCTCCTTGCGTCGCATAGCTTATACCAGTACCTGTGTGCCACTGTCATATTAGCAAAACTAGCTAGCTAGCAAAATCCTGTTGCAAAATACACAATGTTATAAAAACGTGTTTCTCACTGAGTTCGTTTAAAGTCGGTGTGACAATAAAATTAATGGCAGTTTTCCTTAGGAATTTCTGCGTTCTAAATCATCATTTCTGCAAGGACACCTAACAATGCGGTAAGATCGATAACAAAAAGAAACAATATTTTGTGCCTTCAACTACTAGAAAGGCTATATTAATTAGCATTAATTAGCAAGTAAAGGTGCGGCCCGCGGCTTCATCCAGTTACTTGTATCTGGCCCTTCTGTAATAAAGGTTGCACACCCCTGATTTAGATAGTCAATTCATAGTTAAAAAGGGGAATTTGGAATTGTAGCAAAGATGTGATAAGACTGGTATACTATGTTTCATAGAATTTTAGATCTTAAAAAAGACTTTTCTGGTTACACTATGGGACTTCAATTTGATCAAATTGATAATTTTTTCAAATGAATCTATTTTGAATTATTCATAAAGCCAAGAATTTAAAATATCAAACCTAATCAATTTCGAACCGAATTGAATATTCAATTTGTTTTGGACATACATGCTTATGTGTAAATTTCACACAAGGAAACCTACTTTTCGATAGCCTACTGCAGTCATTAAATGCAAGTGCTATAACACTGTCAGTATGCCCAACAAAAAAATGTTGATGGCCGTTTGCAATCTCCATAGCAACAATAACAGCATGCACAGCGTAGACAACAACATCGTTTCCTCCACATTGATGACCAGCAGGATGCCACATTGCTTGATTCCTGGGAATAATTTAATACGAATAATTCCTACATATAAATTATTACTAGTTAGAAACTACGAGAAAATTTACAGAATTTTTCAAACTGAAATTAATTTGTTAGAATGGGTCTTGGACCCATTCCAGTCCCATTCCAGGACCCAGTCAGGAGTGGGCAATTACTATTTTGGGCGGGCCAGTTACATATAATGGACAACAGTCGTGGTTACTGGGCCGGAGGCTCAAAACTCAATATGAAAAACTATGAATAAAAAGCAGTTTATTTACAACATCTAGTTCAACAGCTAGGCTAACGTTTATATAACAATAAGGGGTCAATATCACATGATTTTCATCAATATTTCCACTGAAAATTCATATTCATAAAAACTATAGTCATAATTCGAGCAGACACAAATGGGCCGGATAAAACCTTTCGGTGGGCAGGATGCGGCCCGCATGGCAAAATTTGCTCACCCCTGCTATATATCATAACAGAATGGTTGGACAGTCAAATAGTTGAAACATGTGCCTTGTAGTATTACAGGTTATAAATCATGTTACATCCATTACCGAGCCATATTTCTAATGGTTAGTGCTTTGACCAAACTATCATATACCCATACAATTTACAATTGACTTCCAAGTCCATGGCAAGCCATTCCTAAAATAAATGTGACATTTCACTCCCGGTAAAATGCTATTTACTATTTCATAAAAATATATATTCCAATGTAGCAATTCCTGAAACAATGTATGCAGAGAGATTCTCATACAATATTATTATGATTGTTTATTTACTTGTCAACAATCAAATCTGTGGTTTGTATGAAAAATATCAACAAAAACAGTTCTTCCACCAAATCACTAATTTAAAATTTGAATACTACCTATAGGCTTGGACATTAGGGCGAGGAGAGCCTATGCCCGATCCAAATCCTATGACATGTTTCATCTTCAATATAGGATCAGGTTGAAGACAAGTCATATCCTCAAAGTTTTTATCTGTTGTGTGAAACCCTTGAAATGGTGATGTTTGTTTTGTACTCCTTGATGATCGAGGTGTTGCGCTACTCTTACTTGATCCTGTACCAAAAAGTCACAATAAGTGTATTAATTATCGTAGGTTGCACATCTTAGGATTGATTCCCATACCACCACCTCACCTAGAATATGTTAACTTGGATAGGCAATGCCATACCCAGAAAATTCGAAAAATAGGTTCTCACATACCAAGCGCTAACTACTCAGGTTACACATCTTAGGATTGAATCCTGCACCCACCACCTCAACTAGAGTATATTAAATTGACTAGGCAATGCCATACCAGGAAACTTTGAAAGATTGGTTCTCACCTAATATTGTATCTATGAAAAGCAAAATGTGAAAAACAGTGAACACAGAGAACAACTAACGTGCGGATGTCTTGACGGTAGCTTTTTTCATCTTTGGATCAACAGTTGCAATGCTTCGTATTGTTGAACCCTTATTATTTTTGATAAAATGCCTGTGAACTTCAACATCTCGATTATCCACTCCATCAGTGAATATATGAATGTCACCGGTACCGGATTCAACGAGTGTAACATCATTGGGCTCAGTTCTGTATAATCATAAAAGAAAAAAATAAATAAAACCCAGACTGTTGAAAACTGCTAAAGAACAATGAATAAGATTTTATACGTTATCTACTATTAGTGAATCTCAATATATGCCAAGATCCTCAATTCTGCATCCTAATTATCATTACCACATCTTTTTTATCAGGATATTATTCTCTGGATTGTTTGATGAAGGTCTGGACCGTGGGCCAAAACTTTTGCCCACCTAGACTGGCAGGCCATGTAAGTAATACAAGTATGACGTAAATAGTTACATTTTATGCACACTATTTACAGTGTTACAAAAGAAAGAGTGGAAAACAATAAGCCTCATGCCAAAACTAAATTTAATCACAATCTCAACAAATTCCTTGAGCTATTTTTAGCTAAAACATCAAAATTTGGTTTTAGTTTGGTTGTGGCTGCATCAGACAGGCCAGATTGAATTATCCAACGAGCCTGGTCTGGAATCTGGTGTTTACCATGTTTTAGGTGGTGCCAGAATTATATTGAAGTTGAAATTTCTAAATAACAAGAGTCGAGAATAGGACTTTTATTAATGCTGGAAATCGAAAAAACTAATCAAATTTGTCTAAGCATGTTTGAGTCTCGACAAACAATTATTGGATACAGAATTTGTTTTTAAATGGCTCTGAGTTTTTGAAGAACAAAACTGTGTGCATTTACCCCTAAATTCAACAGATTGCTTAGCGCTGCACAATATTTGACATTGAAATTGAAATATTACTGGTGATAATTTGAGATGAAATTTGAAGTATCGAATTTATATTACCCATCAGTGGAATTCAACATGCTCAGTCCAACAGGAGGCAACTCAGAGACAATCGGAACAGGTTTATTTTTTGGCTGTTTCTTGGGAACAGTAGCAACAGATATAGCATGTTGTGCTCTTGTATGGAAACCACCATGTCTCGATGCATCTACTGTTTTACCCTGTAAAATTGAAGGCAATAACAAGTTGAATATGATAATAAGATTTTGAACAGCTAACTCACCATCAAATGTTGGTTATTGGAAGGTATGTGAGCATAAATTTATTCCAGCTGTGCACAGATGCCCAACTATTTCAACTTGTTGTGATTTTATGGAATTATCATGAAATTGGGCTAATTACCAAAAGCGTCTGGATTGTCAAATCCATAGATACACTTTCATAATTGCAAACTTACATATTCCACTAGGATCCCAATTGCAAAAAAATTATATATCAAACAAGGCTTCAAAGTAGGTCAATATATATACCAACCTCTTCTCTGCGAGGGCTATGTATCGTACCAGGCGGCCCATTTGTAACTCTTTTTGACTTTCGAGATTGTGATCTTTCTACCAATGGTTGTCTATCATTACGTTGAATAGAATCAAATGGAAGCAAACTTGGTTTTGTGGGAGAAGGTGCATCAGGTGAAGTTGGAAATCGTACAAGATCAAACACGTCATCCCATGACTATGAAATAAAAAGTTTGAATTTATGTCACTAATGATTATAGTACATGAAATGGACAAGTGGAAAGTTTATCTACATACCGGTAGTTGTTGTTGGAGAAAAATTGCTTCAACTTCGACCACTGGAATGGACACTTTTAAAATTTCCGAAACCTACTTACTTTGGTACAGGTTTAGCAGAACAGACAGTAATTTTGTTCATTAGCACACATGTGTAAGATTTCAAATGAATGTATGATCATACATAAGGTGTTTACTGTTTACATGATGTTTATAGAGTATTCCAGTCGTCAGACAAGATTTTGATATTTTTTTTTAGAAACCTGGTTATATGAGCAAAGTTTTAAGTTAGTTTTGAGCAAAGTTAAATAAAAAAACGAGCGGTGCATGTGTATCAGATTTGTCAAAAGATACAAATTTAATTTCTATATATTTGTGCATTGCTCTCTTGCTATTTCCACTAACAACATGAAAATGACATCTCAGCTCACCTTATTTTTAGGAATGTGAAAATTCATATCTCTTGGCATTGGTGCAAGATTCTCTTCAGTTGATTTAATTCCAAGTTCTCGAGCATGTCGAAAACTTAATCTTGGGTCATATTCAATATCAGAAGTGAAGCAATTTTTAATCATCAAGTTCGCGCAGATTCGCAGATTTTTCAAATGGGAATATTTCCTGGTAAAACAAATAATTATTGTTGATAATGTTATATCATCGTGAACATATTTGAACTGTGGTGAATAAATAAGATACCGTGCTGTGTTTGTTTCCTTAAAACACATGAGTTAATGAGCCATCTTTAGTAGATAACAGATAACGCATAAGAAACCATTTATTAACTACAATATCAGGTTTATATATTTCACTCCAAATATTAAGTAGCGTTTTTTCTTATATATCGGTGGATATCAGTGGCTGCTTATATAGGGCAATGCTCGGAGTGAAAGGAGTAAATTAAGACTAATGTCCAAAATATCCAAGAAATTAGATGATGAACAAGTTACCTGTTTATATAAACCGACAATATGTATTGCAAATCCAAGACAAGCATTGTCCATTTCTGAGCAAGAGGAGCAGCTCCTACCATATCTGCCTTTGCTCCTTGTGATGCACAATGTTCTACACTTCCTACAGCAGGAAAAAGGAGAATAAAAGAATTTCAGCCAGCCAAATATGGATTTGACAATTCAGAAAAAAATGTTGGAAAACATAATTACCGTACACTGTCTAAAATATGAAAAGTTTGATAAAGTGAATCTGCCAAGGACAACATCTTGCAAAAGTGGTACTAATTTTATAAACCATATCTTATAACCAATATAGAAATCAATTGATATGAACAGACCATAAGTATTAATCAAAGTTCTGATAGCATGCTAGAATTTACATATCATAACACCATGCTAATGAAATGAACAAGGTCATTCGGATGCACGTTAGTCGTACTCATTCATGTGATTTCTCTCTATAGTCTTATCCACGACCACGACGAAGCCTTAAAAATTAAAATGCGATTTTACCTTTGGCAGCATGACAAACAAAAGGAAACTGCAGCCAAGTAGAAGTACATTTAAATTCTTTGAATAAATTTGAAAATGAAATTCGAACAGTCAATCCTTCTTCTGTTGCTGCGTCAATATGAACAACAAAGTATCTTGTTGGTAGAGGCTAAAGGAAAAAATGTGAGAAAAAAATCAAAATTAGAAACAGTACCGGTATACTTAATAACAGAGTGAAGAAATTTTGAAACGATTTTGTCACATGTGGGTATCTACAAATTGAGTCAGTGATCATCTACAATCCGCATTGTGATTTCAAATCCAGAGTGATTAATAAGGTAGGATGTGACAATATATTAAATGTATCTATTCTACAATTGAATGTTGACTTATTCAGGGCCTCATTCAATGCAAGAATATGTAGCATCATCTTAGAAAAATAATCGGGAAATACCTTGAACAAAATATAAAGATATCTTCCAGTAAGTCCAAGTGACTGTGTACTTGTACGTGGAATCTGAATATAGTTTGCTGCTGGTATTGAACCTAGAATCGCAAAGAGAAGAATATGTCATCATCAATATATATAAATATACAAACAACATCAAAGGCTCATAGCATAGTACAAAATTTCATAGCATGATTATTTAAATCTACAAACTAAAGAAGATATAAACGATTGTACATAAGTTTTGAATTGAAGAAACATGACCATGACAGAAATAAACTTCAGTAGATGTGAAATCCGAAACAACAAATGGGAAAACTTTGTTACAACTTCATTTCACTGAACAAGCATTTGAAATAAAAAAGTATCAACCTAGTATTCTGAAGACAGTGCATTTCAATTGTTTATCCATTACTGATGCAACATCTCCTTCCTTGCTGGATCTTTTCCAACTCTCTATTTTGAATTGCTTGAATATATTGACAAATGGATGTTGCCACACTAAAAATAAAAACAGTTTTTTCACAGAAAATGATAAATAGATAAGAATATGCCAATTTATTCTGAGGTCTGAAGGTTTAGGCGTAAAAACATGGTTAAAATGACTTGAAATTGTATAATAAAATAAAGTGCTAAATGATAAAAAAGCAATTAAAAACATTTTGCATTTGTCTATAAGACAATTCCACATTATTGCTAGGTAAATAGGGCAACTTTCTGGCTTATGTTCAAATAGCCTATATGTGGCTGTATCCAGGTATTTGATTCTGACCGCTTTGATTTGATATTTGATTCAAATAGAATCACATTATGCATTAGGCTTCTACCTTGCTCATGTTTAACTCTTTAAGATAAAAATTGTTAGTTTTTAGGTACAAGATAAAAATGAATGACATACTCATCCTTGAAGTATCCTGTGCAGAATTCATTTTTCATTCATAAAGAAGATGAGATTATCATTGAAGAAACTGAGATATGCCTCATCAGCCTTTTACAGTATTATTGCAGAATTTGTCTTCGTATATAAAACATTTAATCTATATAGGGTTGCAAATATAATATCAATAGGTAATCAGGTAACGTTATGTGAAGTGAATGGTTAGTAATGTGGCGGGGAATTCTGGAATTGAAGTAAGCTTTCATACAGATTAGAATTTGTTGGAAATTCTTTAGCTTTATTAAAATCTAGCTTCAATTACCTGTACCGGTACCGTACCTATTCCAGTATTCTATTTCTTCCGTGCTCAGGCTGTCAGGTGGCCAAGCTGCCAAGACATCAAGTGAATACTGCAAATTATAAAATTGCCTTTATCTATTTCTGTATTTGAATGTCTGTATGCAATTTATATTGCTCAGACGCAATTATTTTACCACTACGCCTATAACTTACGTTCATGTATCTATATTACAACGATTACCCAAATGATACTGTAAAAAAACGTTGATAATCCCTGGCCTAGTACAGTAGTAGCAGCCCTTGTAAACAATAAAAACGCACTCACTCCAAATCAAAATTACCGCTCGAACGACCAATGTCGGCTACGGAGCGTGACAAACTGTCACAAGCTCATGGTATAGTCCGGCCAACGACTAACGAGTCCGGCAGAATCGTGGTCGAAGGTTGTTTTGAGACATAAAGTTATTTTTATTGTTCAGATATAATGTCGATGACATAGGTGGGTGTGGAGTATACATTGTTGAGCAATTTTTTCTAAGTGGATTTTATAGCGCTACGGAAGTATTCGTACCAGGATGACGCACATCCTGAACCCTAACCTGTTACACATACAATGTTCAGGTTGTGCGCCATCTTGGTACGAATACTTCGGGAGCACCTTTTTTTGTTAAAAACAATTATTTCATAACTACATGGGTTAGTTTTGAATACATAGGCAAATTAAATCTCCTTACAATGTCCGAAATTCAATTTTAGTACAATAAATAATAGTCAATTTCACTAATAAAAGCCAAGATCCATCGACAGCATCTAGCCCAGATATGGGCAAACTACGGCCCGCGGGCCAGATGCTGATGCTGCCACAACCAAATTGAAACCAAATTATTTTGATGTTAAGCTAAAAATAACTCAAGAAATTTGTTGAGATTAAGATTAAATTTAGTTTAGGCACTATGCTCATTGTCTTCCACTTTTACATTTGTAACACTGGAAATATTGTTCATAAATGTAACTTTTTACGTCACACTTGGCCCGCCAGTCTCATTGGGCAAAAATTTTGGCCCCCGGTCCAAAATCCGTGCCCACCCTTGATCTAGCCACTTTTTTTGCACTCTTCAAACTACATTTGTGTTGCCGCGGGCATTTCGTTTTCCTGCTCAAAGCTTCGAGACTTGGGAAATATTTTGTAAGTTGAAATGGATTGGAATATTCGACCTCGTCTTTCGCTCCAAACAAGGCCATGTAAAACCGTCAACTGGTATCAAACAATGTGTAACGAGTTTTCGTTTGTAAGAACCGGAACCTTTCAGGTTCATCATTGACTTTGGCCAAATTGATATATCCTTGTGGAGATAGAGGGTATGCGTATTGGAAACGAGATGTGCACCTGTTATGCCAACATAGTTGAGTCAAACATTTTGATCACTAGTACATCACATACATTTTTCCGAGTGCTTAGGTTGTACGTGGTAACGCATACATTTTTGCGCACATGCATCAAATTCCACTTGTTCATTGACCTATTGGGTTTTGACGAGCTTGTGTATAGTTTCATCCTATAGATCAGGGCTACTCAACTGGCGGACCGCGGTCCGAATCCGGACCTTTCGAGTATTGGATTTGGACTGCATCTAATTATTTATTTTGGATCATTAGCCCCACTTTTTGAATTTCCTATTATAAAATGACTTTCAGAGTTTTGAATATATACGAAAAGAACTATAACACCATAATACAACATAATACAACTTGCATCTAACAGACAGACAAACAGACAAAGATCGATAAACAAGATCGACAAGTAATGATATTTTTTACATTATGCACTCGTCTATTACTGAATCTGTGATAATATTATTTTTCGTCCTTGGTATTCATTTTTGATCCCGGTCTGTGTCCAATAACAAAAAATATGCTTTTCGTGAACATTTTTCCATTGGACATGTCCGGCTTCAACCAACACATGACCTCTCTAAATCCTAAATTGCCCTTAGTAACTTTCATAATGCCATTAAATTGCCGACTCGTTTACTTTTTTCCTCGTATTTATTTTTTATATATTTATATTTAATCTCATTTGTATCCACCTATGATGAACTTATATATAGCACATACACAAGGGTCGGGAGCCTAGATGACTTTAATCGGTCTTGCACACCGACCCACACAGAGCAATAATCAATTACTGTGGAATATTTTCGTTATTGTATTATGTTTATATTAGTGTTGATTTTGTTTTTGTGGCAATAAAAATCTCTCTCTCTCTCTAATAAACAATTTTAATTTGCTACTAATTTTTTATTTATAATATTCATTTAATTTTCTTGACTTTTTTTATTTTTTATTTATAATATTCATTTAATTTTCTTGACTGTTCCGTGTAAATTTCTCGGTGAGAAATACCCGATTTATTTATGTTTTTGTGCTCACGATGTTAATTTGTGACTTCATTGCATAAAAATGAATGCGTTTGCTAGCATTTATAAATTAAATGCAACTTCCCATGCTGTTCTTTGTTGTAAACTGCTTGTCTGATTTTGTTCAGGCGTAACGTTACAGAAATACATTTGTGTTAGTGTGCAGCAGGACTTTTAAACTGCGTAGAAACCTATGGTTACTGATTTTCCGGCGAATCCCCTATGTCAAAATTTTTGCATCGGGATTTAACCGGTTCACTTGTGTTGTAAAATGAATGCAACCTTTCATGCTTTGTCGTTGTAAACCTATGGTTATTGATTTTCAGGGAATCCCCTTCTATCCATTTTTGCATCAAGATTTTTGAAGCATGTTTTATAGCAAGTTTGCAACTTTCGTTAGTGGGAAGCAAGCGTTCAGTATGTTCATTTTTATACAAAACTAAAGCATTTATATAGTTACCAGGTGTGCTCTACGAAACTCATTTTCTAGGCGTTTTCAGGGCCTCGTCTCGCGACCTATTACTGTTATCACCGTTTGGTATTGCCGAAATATATAAGTGAAATATTTTAATAGAGATAGGTAGGTATAAGATATTGTATTAAAAAGCAGAACCACTCCAATTTTTAAATAAGCATTTTGCGCAGTCGCAATTTCAACATTTCCTCGTCGTTTACCGTCGTTTTTTTTTGCAGGACATGAAAGAGAATGATTGTTATCGATATCCTCTAGGACAGGATATCTATAACAATCCTTCTACTCATGCGGGCCGTAATATTAACTAAAACGACTTCGCGGAACCGGCAACAAAACATTTTTATCGATTCAATAAAGAATACGAGATGACCAGTTTATTCTTTTTTCTGGCTTTGTGGGAGATCTCGGCGCATTTTAAATAGGGCTCCCCAGCAACGTATCGTCGTGTTTATGATTATTGCCTGACAAAGCAACGTGAAGCTGATTTCTCGCAAACAGCAAAAAACTTCGCGGATCAGTGGTTAGCGACAGATGCTTGTGAGAGAAGATTTTGAGAAACCAATAGATGTCACAAATTCAGAGCACTATGACAAAAAGAAAAATGGAATTGAAACAAAATTAGCCGAAGCCGAAACTTTTCCAGTCTTCCGAAAACAGAACTGAATGCACCGATGATCTGGCCCGCGACGTTAATTCTTATTATGCAGAAATCAGCTAACCAATTCCCCGAAATCGAACTCTGGAAGCATGATATTATAACGGATAATGAAGCAGCGAAACTGAAAAAGAGCGCTCGCTGCGGATTCGAGCCTGCGACCCCCGGATGACAAAAATACCAATCGACGAAACGAAAGAAAACTCCGGCAGATTAGGGGCCTTTTTGGGTCCAATCTTGTTTTCAGACATGAAGTTTTTTTTATTTGTAAATATTCATCTTGGGGTCATTGCCCATCATTTCTACATGGGTGTGAAGTTTGCAGCCTTGAGCAATTTTTTTACGGCTCGATATTTATATTGGTGTTTTTCGTCAAATCTGTGCACCATAACGGCGCACAACCTGAACCCTAATCTGGTACACATACTGAATTCAGGTTGTGCGCCATCTTGGTGCACCCTGTTATAAACTAAAATAGGCGACCGTGCTTCGCTTGCCTGTTGTCATGCTGATTCTCGGATTCAGCTAAAACAAAAAATGTAAGAAAACGGGTTTTAGATTTTATGATTTCATTAATATACTCGACAATGAATGATATACGGGTGGTAAAATGCCAAGTTATTCCAACAACATGATCATGTTTTGCAACTTACAACCAATATTTTGTATGTAAATTTGTTTGAATTTGTTTGCCCCAAAAAATCCAACTACAAATATCAAAAAGTGAAGCTAAAAAAGTTACACTACATCATAGTCAAATGTGCTGTATTCACGATAGATAACAAGTTTACCAAAAAGCATTATATGTAAAATGATTTTATGTGTTTGTTTCGGAAGTTTGATGATAGAATCAATTGTGGTTGTTAGGGATGTTTCAAAAAAAGGTTGAATGGAAAAAAGTTTTCACAAAATGTCAAGGTTTGAGAGTAGTAGAGAAGTAGAAAAAATACTACCATGTTTCTTCATTTGATACCCATGCCACAGAACTTCTCCGATAAATATACGCAGCAATTGCGAGAGGCAGAAATGCCAAGATGGGATTTCATCGCATTGCAAACCAATATTAGCGATTCTTAGATATATTCGCGCATTCCCATCTGAACTGCGTGGAATAGATTATACCCATCTACACACCTGAAAAACTATGTCAGATGAGCGTCATGTCATCGATTATCAGTTAAGGAATAGTGTAATGGGGAAAAAACATATAAGACATAACTTTCAGTAATATGCAATCAAATAATCTTATTGTAGAATATATATTTAAAAACATTTCGTCACACCAACTGCAGTCCGAAACTTTTTCGGCTGAGCTTAGATACCAATTGGCACTCATGTGAATTGGTGAGGGGAAGGTTTCATAGTGAAACGCCATGGGATGGAGCAGATAATATGAGTATCCATCATCCAACTGTCATTTGAGTGGGTTCTGCCGTTTTTATTGCAGATAATACGGATCTTTTTGTATTAAAGATTTACTGGCATCACCGATTTAAGAATGTCAAATGATGGATATATATCAATAAATCAGTGGAAAACCAACACGCAATATTACAAAACTTACTTCCAACACGCGGTTTAAATGAATGTGACTATATAATTCGGCATTGTAAAAACGCTAAAACTATTATTCTTTAGATTCATAGTAATCAGAAATATTACAATCAGCCTTTTTTCAGTTCATGCGGTTGTGTATATGACAAAAATGCAATATAATTTATAGAAACAGGACAAATGTCTGAGAAAATGAGGAAGTAAATTTTATTTGGAACAACATGAGTGTTTTTCGACATATAAAAATACCACTAAATATTGACTAAATATTTTCTGAATCAAATATGCTGTGTAGCCTATATAGCAGTATAAGTGTGCTGAATACTCATGAATCGTCATTAAATTTATTATAAATCTTCCATATAAGCATGAAAATACCCTATCGTCGTTTGTGGAATACCTTCCTAGGTCTAGCCTGCCATGAAGTTACCGCACCGTACATATTTAACCGTATATATATACTACATTTAAAACAACGTTATATGAGCTAGCGCTCAACTCAAATTACCATCCGTGGTAAGAATCTACGAGTGTTTAATAGCTTACTTATACTTTTTAACACCGTCTTAGCATAACTTAACTAATAATAACTGAAAAAGACTATGGAAAGGCTACCCAACTCAACGCAAGAGGGAGCAGTACAAACTGAGATTCATCCGACCGCCTACAGCTGATAAAACTGTAATTGTTACGTCATGCAGAAGCGTTCTTCGGCCAATGTTGCCGGAAAAGCAGAGAATATAGGACAGATGGTAGCACATATTTCTTGTAGTAAAAGCGTTTTTTTTCGTAAAACGTTCAATTTTTGGATATGGGAACAAGGTATTATTTATTACTAAATTTCCAAGGAACATTTTAAAATTAGTTATAAGTAGTTCCCTACATAGATATTAGAACCTCGGGCGTTGCTGCTCGATAACCAGCCTTTGGCTCCCGGTGACTTCCTTTTCCCAGTTTTTTCGAATATGAAAAATTATTGAATGCTTGTTGGAAAATTTAAAGTTGACTTGATTTGATGAAAAATATTAGGTATCCTAACGTTATGTTGTTTTAAATAGATTTCATTTTAGTGTAAACTGCAAAAATATGGCATTATGCTCAGTAACTGAAAGAAAACGGTACCACAAGCACCGAAAAAGAAAAGCAAATTCAATTCCCAAGCATGATTAGGTAAAATATAAGTCCAATCAACTTTCCATTCCATTTGATTTGAATAAATTGTATGTCTTGAGATTGTAGATGGGATACGGATTTTATAAATAAATTAACGTAATCGCACTTTTGCGCTGAACAATATCCATGTACGGTTCAATGCAATTGCACTTTTTGTGAGCTGTTGTGTTTTTTTTCGCGAGCAATAACAAGAAATTGTTTCATTTTCGAGGGGAACATGATTGTGGCGTATGGAATCCACTCGCTCAGCGAGGCGCAATTCTTACCACTTCATGGCAGCTCCTGCCACGAACGTACCGCGGCGTCTCTTAGGATTTACAGGATAGGATTTACATATTTATCCCGGGTGAGAGGAAAGCCGATAAGACGGCTTATTCATATGGCGAACCACGGCCTCTCGTCCGGTTACCATTCCAAGTCGGGTATGGGATTAGATATATTTGTTTTCGGAAGAATGGACTTGGTGGTGGAGGAAGCCGTAACCGACCAGCGGTTACGTGAACCACCCAACGACGGCGAGGAGTCCAGCAATCCTCTCGCACATAACCATCTCTGCATGGGATTCGAACCTGCGAACCCACGCAGAGTAATTAGAGGTGCGGTGGCGAGCGTATTCCTAACCGTATATTTTAGTTTAAACCTAACCCCAAATACATTAAAACTGTATTCATAAGAAAAGCGTTCTAACTTACCCAATATTTATCATCATAAGGGGCAACCCTGCTATTACAGCCGACATGCCGTGGTTACGGCAGCAAAATTGGTGGTATTCGATTTGCTGCCCCTCGCTATTGGTTTGTGGCAACTAAAAAGTCAGTCGCCGTGGGTTTAGCCCATTGAGGTGTATGTAACTAGAGATCGCATAGAAGTTTAGCCATACACCTCAATGGGTTTAGCACTGATGGGGTTTAGTCATAGAGGTGCGGCAGCTCTAGACGCCACAAAATACTTAAAACTGCACTTGCGCTCCGCATATGCCATAGGCATAGATAGATAGACTGAAAGAGGAAGTCAAGCAGACAAGTCTATGCAACGAATCGGTCGTTTTCGAATTGTTTTGATACGGTACCGGTACTACAGTACTATGTTGTTTTTGAAAGTTGACCACCGAAAACTTATATTAATGAATAATTTTTTCTTACTATGGTAGCACATCCTTTAATACCGGTACCGTTAGTGCTCCTAGAGTGGGTTGGGTACGGTACCGTACTGGTACGGTAATGTAAAGGTCAATGTAAAATAATATAGAATGTTTTATTTTACAGACGATTTTTATTTTACAATTTGCAGTCCAGTTAATTGGTAAATACTGAAAACCAACAATTTCACCTACCATAGCTGCTGCACTGACTCAAAGCTTCCTTACATGTGACAATGTGTTTGTGATTCAACTCAACCATCGAAGTCGGAAGAAAATGACTCTAGTTCAGGATTTCTGTGATCGCTATTATGCAGTAGCGAGATATTTACCTCCTGTCGGATTTCTCTTGGCTCCAAGACAGCCAATAAACAATACTCTTTCTATGAGGCGGAGAACTTTTTTTTCATTGATGAACTTGGCGTGGGCAGCAAGGTCAAGGATTCCTGTTATTATATCATCAATATTTCTTTTGTTTAATCTTCCAATGATTCGTGTGGAAATAAACATTAATGTTCGCTAGTGCAATGACATAAGTACATAGGGGGAAATTGGATGGAAAAACAAAGAGCCAGCATTTCTGCTGTTGAATACCACTGTACATAAATATGACATATAGTCACTAATTTTTATGATCCAGCTATGAATAGGTATAATATAAAATATCCACTCTTCTGCTGTATTATGGGCCTCTATAATTCTGATCCAAAAGCAGGGAAATTCTGGCTGTACCCACAGCTTGTCATCTTCGCAAACATAGAATACATCATATGGTAGTGTGAAAGTTTGAATGGACTTAGCCAATCTTATGGTTTGTACTGTCATTAATGAACGATATGATATGTATGGTTTTACTTATGAATAGGCAGTGGGTGATACATGTTTTCATTTGTTGTTTGTCAAATATATAATACAATTTTTCTTTTGGATATAAAACTAGTTACCACCCCTGTTGCAGTCGAGGCTGAATATATATTTGCTGCCCAATGCTCTACTCCTGTTGATGGTGGATGAGATTTCAACAGAAATCATCTGAGTGTTAGGAAAGCATATTTCTTCCTAATGAGTGGGCCAATTGTCAAAAGTTGTTATCATAGTAGTCAAGTTCATAAAGAGTTGCAATAATCATTTATAATTAATTAAGAATACAATTACAATAAGGTAATTAGCGATATTACAATGGACAACAGTAAATATATATATTTATACCCCTGCAAATAAATATATTTACTGTTTATGCAAAAACCAAGATAATAATCATGTCAATACCTAATATCAGATATATAGCTTTTATTTGAATGTTTTTTAAGAAAGCTTGTAATATGTTTATAAAATCTTGTCATTGCCATTTATCTGGTCATTGTTTCATGCAACAAGTTTTACCCAATTCTGGTACCACTCTAGTCCTATTCTCTTCCATATTGAAAGTTTGACCCGCAGATATGTTAATATTCACTCAATTTTCCATCTCTCATTATGCTGCTGTATCTTTTGCATAGTTGGTCTTTGATATAATGAAATGTAAAGCTGTAATTCCTGTTGTCAAACATGAAACAGATACGTTCTTCTTCATGAATGATTGGGTGAAGCTGGCATTTAGTTTCCAACATTATATTTTTCATTTGTGTGTGCAAATTACTTTAAATTCAAGAATTATTGTAAAATTGAATAAACTGAGACCATATTGCTTCTGATGCTGGTAGGGGGATGTTTAGATTCTGGGTACAAAATCAGAATCATACAGTCTATAAAGTACATATTTTGGTACTCCCATAGTATGTGTATCAGGTTAGGCCATAATTTTAGGTACAAATACTATGGGAGTCCCGAACTTGTAATAGACGGAAAATGGTACGCATACTACGTTCCGGTGTCCGCCATCTTGGTTCACATGCTTCGGGAGTACCCATATTTCTGATGATCTATTGCATCACACAAAATTTTGTTTCAAGGGTAGATAGATGAAGTAGTGGTTACTTCTAACCTTATTCTCTATCAAGAATTATCATTTTACTGAATCTGGCTAGCTAAACATGTCTGATCATTGTTACTATTGAACAACATTAACAATGCTTTCAAAAAATATTGGATTTATTTTGAATAAAACGGTTATAAAACACAAGCTTACAGATCATAAAAACAAGATTTAAAACTGCAAATATAGTGTGTTAGCAATCATGGCAGGTTATCAGTAATGAGGCTAAAAACAGATCGCCCAAAGTTTTACGAGTAATTGCAACAGAAATTGTACATTCAAAAGGCATGGGTTCTGCCCAACTTCAGCTTGTTTGCCAGACGCTGCTTTGCAGTTGCCATACCTTTTTTAGGCTTTCTAACAATATTCCTGACTGGAGGATGACAAGCACCTTTCGTTTGCAACAACTTTGGCTTGTCTGACTCATTATGTGTTGAAGTCATCTGTGGCATTAAAAGCGAAAGACCGCCAGTATTATTGATATGACGTGGTGCTAGTGAAACATGCTTCTTCCGTGCTATTTTTGGTATTTCTGCTTCTTCATCTTTCATTAATGCATCAGGGTCAACAAAATCTGCATCAAGGTTTTTTTTCTTATCGTGCCGTCTTCTTTCTTTTTCCGTCAAGACACAATCCTCTTCCTCATTTGCTTCTTCTTTGTGGGGTTGCTCGATTTCAGATAAAATATTTTTCGGCAAATCTTCTGTTGTAAGTTGCGGATTCGATACATGAACGACTGACTTAGACCTCTGCCTTTTTTTAGTCGAAAAATGCAATGCAGGTTTTGGAAAGGTCAAGGATGGCAAGTGCCCTTCGGACTCTCCAGTAGAAGCAGGATGTGACCCATGCTGTCTTGACGTTGAAGATGGATTAAATTGTTTACTTGTTAGCCCTTCACCTGGACTAGACTTCTTCTGTTCATTAAGTTCAACTGACACAACATCAAGCAATGACTGCAAGCCAAGACTGAAAAAAGGTTTTTTCGGCAAATTTGAAGGTGGATTGCAAGGTTTTCCAGTCATCCATGATTCGATTTCATTCTTTTTGCTCACATCTTCTTTTACTGGATGCTGCTTTAAATCATTTGAGTTAGTTTCAACCGCATCATTGCCTTTTGAAGCCACTGTGCTCCAACTTCGACGAATATTAGGAAATACTTGAGGGTTAGAATCTCCGGAGTCTTTAATTTCATTTGTTTTGGTTACAGACTTTTGCTTTCCAACCGAAAGTCTCAATGTGAGGGGTTTGTGATTTTCAGAACTTGATGAATAATACTGTGACTGTGCAACATGATTATTATCAACAGTGTCCATGTGCTCAGAGGTATTGGTGTCTTGCTGGTCACTGTTTTCTACAACTTCAGCTGAAACCCGTTGTTTTGATATTATCAAGGGTTTTATAATGTTCTCTTTCAATTCCAGGGGCTCATGCGGAATGGTTTTCATTACAGCCTCTTCAACAATGCATTCGGCCACTTTAGAGCTTAATACTTTGCCAAGTGATAACTTTAACTTAATTCCTGTTTTGCTGGCCTGTTTTGTATATTTTTTGGGTGTATCTCGCAATTTTATTTCAGGAATGGAAGGATACTGGGTATCTGATAATTCTTCATCACTGATGTTTACAATATCCACATTCTCACCTGTTTCAAGTTTCTCTTGTTTGATTTCGACATCACCAGAAGATGTTATCTTGGGCAGTTTTTTTGATTTGCGTACATTTTTTATCTTTACCCTAAGCCTTTTTTTGGGGGGCTCTTTTTTTACAGATATGGGTGAAGGCGAATGTCTTCGAACTCTATTTCTAATTCTTGTTGATGTTCTAGTAGCAGTTATTTTCAATTCTTCAGCATCAGTAATAGTTTTGCTTTCATCAGAATTTGCCTGTCAAAAAAAGCAATCGTAGTGAGAATATAATTTTTATGCACGTATATTGAAAGATTGTTTGGAATGAAAATATTCATAAATATGCCACACACCATGAATGATGATTCAACATATTCTGACATTGCATTTCAACTACTTTGGGTCAATTGTTTCATTCTTTCATAATACCTGTGATGGAGTAGTTTTAACCACTAATTTGAGGTCAGACTTCTTTTTAGCATTAGAAATCTTAGCCACAGGTCCTTGTTTTCGTCGACGTCTGGTTTTCTTTGTTGTCTGTTCACTTTCATCAATAAGAAGTTCTCCTTCTGCCTCACTATCTGAATTTTTCATGCTTATGCGCGCATAAATAATAAAAAAAATATTTATCTATGTAAAACCTACCACAATGGCAGGAGCATTTGAACAATAAAAATCTGAAAAAAAGGTTTCAAGATCAGTGACTCTACAAAAAAAGACAGGATTGATTTCATTGTTCTGTAAGGATTGGGCAGCTCAAAGTCAATGCTTCTAAGTCATGCTACCTTGACATACAATCTTAGGGGTAATAATAAATAATAATGCCAAACAAAAATACAAAACTTTCATGTTTTTTTTAAAGGAATGAAATAGCACTTCCTACACGACATGTAATTCGATAGACCCAATCTTAGCAATTGGGCAAAAAAACACAGACATTTACCACTCACGCAAAGCATGGGCCACCTGATATTGTAGTGCAATCTCAAAAATGCCAAATCAGTACTGATAGTTTATATTATATACAGTACAATTCTATTTCGATCTTTCGTCTACAACACAGAACAAATGAAAAAAATAGGCCAAACCTACATAAAGATTTGTGCCCATTCACCCACACTCAAACAAGTGAAATCACGACAATCATACTAGAATAAATTAATGGACAGCGTACCGGTAAATGAACACGAGAAAATAAAATTTACAGGCAAAGCTTACTTTTGGACATGTGAAGTTGTAAAAAATTTGAATGCGTGAAATTCGTCAAGAATACAAGAAACAATTAGAAGTTATGTGACCCTGCCCCTGCGGAAATGTGAATACAGGAATACTAACAATAACATTCAAATGGTAAGCTGCTTCTTTTTTGTAAACAAACAAAGCTAAAACTGTAAAAAGTAAACAACAAACATAAAATCTAATTTCGGGCACTGCTTATTAGGTAATGAAATTAGTTCGAATTCAGAAAGTTCTTATTTCTCTATATGAAAATTAACTTTGTTCTAACTAACACTAATTATCAATAGTGACCCAAAATCTTAAGTATGTTTGTATGTATACTGTGGCTTGGAATTAAATCCTACCCTGCTGTCCCGCACACTGCTTCCCGGCACGGTACGGAAATACTCGTCAGCCGACACTAGTATAAAGTTAAAATTGTACAATCTGATAATACAATACTGGTATCCTGCACAGTCGCAACTACTACAGAGTACAGCAGTAATTTACACCGTTCGAGCGAACTAAAAATGTGAGCACTTGAAAATTAGGTACTCGGAAAATATAATAGAAAATGGATGTAATAACTTTTAAAAAGATACCGCTATGAATTAGTTTAGCTTAATTGAATACTGAACATGGGAAGTGCAGCGAGCAAAAACTCAATAATGAGGCTTAAAACGTAGTAATACCATAGCCATTATATAATGGCTCTGGTAATACCATACACCTCAATGAGTATTACGGGTCGCACGCGCTTGATCACCATATATGTTAGGCAGTTAGGCACTTATTTAGGTACTTCGATGAAAATGAGAATTATCACCAGAAAAATATCATGAAATAAAAATATATTAGCCATACTAGTTACGGTACCTAGTATCCCGTGAAAGCATTTGAGCCTATAGTTAGCCACATATTTGGGCACTTCGAAAAAATAAGAAAATGAAGTTTATCAACAATTACCGGTAAGTCAGGATGAAATAAATAATATTATTCATATCATTAGTATTAATTTACGTTCATATATACTAGCTACTGGGGGTTAATTTCGAGTGTATGCATTTGAGTCTAAAAAGTGCCTTATTTTCAAGTGCCTACTTTTAGTCCGTCCCCACCGTTTTCACTGCAGCATCGATTTTCAACCGCGGCCCTAAACTAAACTATTCTCCCAGCGAAAATTGATAATTTTCCATGATAATTCTGATGTTGATGCTGACCACATTGCTGTTATGTTAACAGCAATTAGTCAACCGAATGACATACCTTAAAGAATTTTATGACCTTATTCCTGAGATTAAAACATTTCTCGAAGGAAAGAGGGACATCTACCAGCTTGCCAGCAATGAATGAGTTGCTGATTTACGGTCATGGTCAGTATCACATCTTTCATCTTCAAATAATAGCCTTACAGCATTACAAGGTTTTAACGACTTTTAAAGCATCTGCCTTCATTAAAAAACTCAGTAGGAAGCGCAGATTGCAAGTGGGGTATCAATACATTTTCCAACACTCTCCAAACCACAAAACCAACGGATCTTTTGATATGTACGACAGAATTATTAGAAATTTGATCGAGCGCACCATAGGCGCCGTCGGACTGGGTGGGAAATTGAAAAAAGGAGTAGCCTTCCAACGACTTCCTCGATCTTCAAGATTTGAAATCAACTGGCCAATTAGTTGCGGAGAAAGGCGATTTTTAGTATAGTGATGCTTTAGTTTAATCATGTGCTCAATTTGGAATAGTCATCACCATTTAGCATTATGGCAATTACACTCAACTTCAGATCATTTTTCAAAACGTTTAAATGGTACGATTAAAATCGTGTTGTAAGTTATACTTACGACCTTGATTCATCATAGTTTTAACTGTATCATCATTAAAACAGTTGTGTCCGACTACTTGATTATTTCAAAACAAACAACCTATCAATCTCAACCTTCCCTAAAATACTATTACAGTATCAACGAAATCCCTCTACACTGTCTAGAGACCACAGATATCAATGAAATCAACATATCGACAACACCTAATTATAGCATATGAATCACCCACCCATGGATTTTTGTACAAAATATATTCAAAGACATAGATATGAAATTCATTCACAATAAATAAACACAATTTTGTTTACACACATAAATGGGTTTCTCAAGCTCATCTTGCTCCAAACATCTTCAAGTTTAATTCACTAGCGCTATTCCAAAGAAACTTGTAATCAAATTTCAATGCATTCCATCAGACACAGTCATCCTATCGATGATAACATTGCCATGAGCATCTTTAACCCTCAATCTTCCAGAAGCATACCTGAGGGAAAATACAATAATCAATTTTAACATCACATATTGCGGCACAAAGTTAACAACAGACATCAAGAATAGGACCACCTGAAGTATGCGCACCAAGATGGCGCACAACCTGAACTCTGGTTGTGTACCAGGTTACGGTTCGGGTTATGCGATTTCTTGGTGCGCATACCTCAGGAGTCCCCAAAAATATATATATGCAAACTACTAACCTCGTTTCTTGCCTTCCATCACTAAAAACAGTTTTGCTTGTACCATCAGGATATTCTCTTTTCTTAAAATCAATTGTATGAATTTCACGTTGGCCATTTGCAAATACAATTGTTTTGTCTTTGTTTGTTGAAATATGCATTTCTGTACCATCAGGAAACACAGTTTGTTCAGTACCATCTGTGTGTAGATATTTGACAGTTTGATCAGGAAACGTGATCTGCTTTGTTCCATCAGGGAAGTGGTGCTCAACTTGCTTGTTCGGAAACTCAAAAACCTTTGAAAAACAAAATTGAATGATTTACAAAAGAATTCAGATAGGATTTGGTGGCGAGTATGAAATTGGAGCTAGGTGAAATGGGTATGCTGGAACAATTGACAATTTAAGATGCATATACATTTTTCGGCACTTCAGAAGTGTGTGTACTGATATGGAAGTACCGGTAACTAATTTTGTTCGCCTACTTCACATCAAGTTGTTTAGAGGGATTGAAACTTATGGACAGGGGGTATATTCACTTGGCTAACACAGACAGTCCCTGAACTTATAATAAAACTAAAATAAGGAAAATCTGAATAAAATTATGGACCGCCCTTACCTGGTACACAGACTACGAGAGCACCCATTTTTCATTTAGTTTCATTGGAATTAACTTCATATAAAGCATTTAAACAAAGATTATTACATTTAGGGTGCATAATATAAAAAATTATTTTTAAATGTTCAAAATATGTTTTGTTTTGAACATTCTGGCTCCTAACTGTTAAAACATCTGATCTGTCAACAGAACATTCAAGGAGATCATGTTACTTTGTTTTAGTGTGTCGACAAAGCATGGTTTACTAATTGTGTTAACTAGATTATCAACAAAGCAGGTATTCACTTCCAATTTACAACAATTAAATGTGTTTATTTAAAGACAAGCATGGACATGTCCTTTTATTTTCCCACATATGAACCATGCTCGAAAAGTAACAATAATAAGCTGGTTTGTAGCAACAGTGATCAGTTGTTGTTTTTATGAACCAACATGCTGGGGCTGCTACCATCTTTGCTTCATGTTATCACTGGTCTTATACAGCCACCTCTCAGCTGGTTAGCTTCTTTTTATCTATTTTCAGATCCTTATGTGGAAGAACTGCTGGGGTATGCAATATTAAATATTGAATTCCTGTCTTTCGATAAAAAATGTTTTCTTTACATGAAATAATACAAGCAATACTACCTGAAGACCATCACGATGAGTTGTATGTGTAGTACCATTTTCTTCATAAAAATAAACTATTGAACCATCTCCATATATTTGCTTGATATCTCCATTCGCAAAGCGTACCTTGAAAGCACAAAAAGAACAAATCTTCATACTCGGTAAATCATGTGTAAAATGTGAGAAAGAGTGATACTAACCTTCACAGTTTGTCCATCTCCAGAAACTTCTTTTTGAGTCCCATTCGGAAAAATGACAATTTTGCTTCCATCTTTCTGTGTTTTCTCAACCTTTCCATCTTTGTGCATCATTTCTGCGGATATATCCGAAGACTTTGACTGTTCTATTGTATTCTTCAGATTTGAGAATGCAACCTCTGCTATCAGACCTTTATTTGATTTTCCTTCTTTGACTGGTCTGGAATATTCCACACGTGTTGGCTTTTTAGACAAAACGCTATCATGTGAATTACTGAGATTCGATTTACTAGAAATGGGTTGATCAATATTGCCAGCCTCTGTGACTATATCAGATGATTCTACAATTTTGTTTACTGTTTTCCACACTGATGATTTCTTTGGCTGATTCGACTTCATAGCATTCCACTCTTTTAACCGCTGAGCTTCAGTTTCATTGATGCGTTGTTGCAATTGTTTATTCTCGGCCTCCAATCTCTCAACTTGATTGCGCATTCTGTTGTTTGAAGAAATCCATTTTTGTTCTTTCGTCTTATTATCGTTTCGAAGAACCTCAATTTC